GGTGGTCTCCAGCTGTCCATCTCCTGGCAGAGAGCCGGGTGGTCTCCAGCTGTCCATCTCCTGGCAGAGAGCCGGGTGGTCTCCAGCTGTCCATCTCCTGGCAGAGAGCCGGGTGGTCTCCAGCTGTCCATCTCCTGGCAGAGAGCCGGGTGGTCTCCAGCTGTCCATCTCCTGGCAGAGAGCTTGGTGGTCTCCAGCTGTCCATCTCCTGGCAGAGAGCCGGGTGGTCTCCAGCTGTCCATCTCCTGTCAGAGAGCTTGGTGGTCTCCAGCTGTCCATCTCCTGTCAGAGAGCTGGGTGGTCTCCGGCTGTCCATATCCTGGCAGAGAGCTGGGTGGTCTCTGGCTGTCCATCTCCTGGCAGAGAGCTTGGTGGTCTCTTGCTGTCCATCTCCTGGCAGAGAGCCGGGTGGTCTCTGGCTGTCCATCTCCTGGCAGAGAGCCGGGTGCTCTCCAGCTGTCCATCTCCTGTCAGAGAGCTGGGTGGTCTCTGGCTGTCCATCTCCTGGCAGAGAGCTTGGTGGTGTCTGGCTGTCCATCTCCTGGTAGAGAGCCGGGTGGTCTCCAGCTGTCCATCTCCTGGTAGAGAGCCGGGTGGTCTCCAGCTCTCCATGGAAGAGAGCAATAACTGAGGCTTGGATCACCACAAGGATACGATAATATAATGTCTAGAGACAAGGAAACATCTACAAACATATTTGTCTTCAGCAGACACCCTTCCAAATGGATTCTGTTTACTGGGCACACTGATAAGAGATGCGGGCTCCTCCCCTCATCCTCTGATAACACTGCACACTGGGAGCTTCTCACAATGTGCGTGGAAGCTGAAGCAAGTCAGATAGAGCCCCGCCCCATTTCCTGACCGGAGGACATCCAGCATCGTGTAGCACTTTCCTCCCCAGCCCTGGCCTACCCCTTTCATTCATTGGATTTCAGTTCTTTTCAATCATGGCGGTTCAGCATCTCATGTGGGTGGTCTGCATGCAAATACAGCCAGTCTAGGAATGCCCACACCTCAAGACTGGCACCCACCCTATTTGATATTTGCATAACTCCTCCCAAAATCCAGCCCATTGCTTGTATCAAGACTGAGGGTTCTTGAGAGGAGTAATGAGGCAGGCCGCTGTGATATTTTCGGAAAGCTATGTGCAGCACCCTGCTGTCCCCTCCCCCAAGTCATAATCTGCCGGCCATGAATAGAGAAGCTCAGAGACCCACCAATGACATCACTGGATCTTTAAAAGATTAAAAGATTTTTTTTTAAAGCATTCATTAACATATTGATGAGGGAAGGGGAGGAGCCAGGGAAATAGAAGCAGATTATATGTCAGCTTCATCTCTTTCCTATTCTATTTAGAACTAAAAAAGGTTTGGGTTTTAGATCTTCTCTAGCTGGCCCGAGATTTGACACCCCCTCTTCTAGAGGACATACATCAGGCGTAGTCACAGGACGTGTAGCGATGACCACCAGTGTAGTGATGTGACCCTATTACAACCAAATCTCTGCTCTCTCCACAGGTAAAACCAACGGGGAATACCGTCAGGACATTCTAGATGGAAAACCTCTGGAGCCTCCAAGTGAAATCCACCCGGAAATATCCCATATCATGGAGATGTGCTGGAGGCACCAATCCCCCACCAGGCCATCCTTCTCCGAGATTGAGAGCTTCCTCATGGATCTGCTGAACCCCATGCTGGTTGATGACACTGTGGAGTGACCGGTCCCCGAGGAGCTGATATTACGATACGATAGACGATATGAAACATCTGGGAATGATGATCTGACTCAGGTCTAAGCACGTCTCTTCTGAAAGAAACATAAAAGGCCAACATGACTTGTTCAGCTCTGTCCTGTCACTGCTCCCTCCCAGATCTGTCTGCCGTCTTGGTGACATCTGTTGGGGGGCCCTATGAAGAGCAGAGATGTGAAGACCATCTTCTCAGTTTTGGAGGAACCTGGACCATCTCCGACACTCCAATATGTTACATGAAGAGACATTTCACATGGCTGGCTCGGGATGTCCGTATTCCTTTGTATCGGATGGGGATCGAGGTCCTCAGGACTCTGTCGGTGTGAAGGGACTGAGAGAAGGCCCCCCCCCCCCCAGAGTCAGTCTCAGCAGAGCTGCAGAAATTCCTTATGGCCAAGGGGAGGGAAAAGACACAGAAAGGGGGTCAGCAAAACCGGTGGGAAATGTGGCCAAGCAGGACTCTGGGCAATGTCCTGAACTGGAGATGAATCCCGCATTGTAGGGATCGTGTTATTGCTGGATGGTGGACCATGTTTATATATCTATATACACACACACACACACACACACACACACACACACACACACACACAGGAGCACCTCTCTAATTCTGTATACTGGGTGTAAATCCGAGTGTCTGTCCTCGTCCTGAACTCTGCCAAGAACCAGTTCTCTGCTGAGTGATGTGTGCAATAACCAGCAGCCATTATACGGAACTTATGACCTCGTCCTGACTTCAATATCAACTGTTTCCCGATTCTCTGCGAGCTCTGACAACTGCTACAAAGTTTAATGACACCATAAAATATAATAAAAGAGGAAATCCTTCTATTGTCTTCTTTCCTCTGGTTGTTATACAGCGATCATATAATAATATAACTGTATAGACATCGGAGGGGGCGGAGCTATCATATAATAATATAACTGTATAGACAATCGGAGGGGGCGGAGATATCATATAATAATATAACTGTATAGACATCGGAGGGGGCGGAGCTATCATATAATAATATAACTGTATAGACATCGGAGGGGGCAGAGCTATCATATAATAATATAACTGTATAGACATCGGAGGGGGGGCGGAGCTATCATATAATAATATAACTGTATAGACATCGGAGGGGGCGGAAATATAATAATTTAAAGACATCGGAGGGGGCGGAGCTATCATATAATAATATAACTGTATAGACATCGGAGGGGGCGGAGCTATCATATAATAGTATAACTGTATAGACATCGGAGAGGGCGGAGCTATCATATAATATAACTGTATAGACATCGGAGGGGGCGGAGCTATCATATAATAATATAACTGTATAGACATCGGAGGGGGCGGAGCTATCATATAATAATATAACTGTATAGACATTGGAGAGGGCAGAGCTATCATAATAATATAACTGTATAGACATTGGAGAGGGCAGAGCTATCATAATAATATAACTGTATAGACATCGGAGGGGGCGGAGCTATCATATAATAATATAACTGTATAGACATCGGATTTTGAAGGCTTATATGCAAGTTATAGGCCATAAAAGGGCTATGGGGAGTCAGGTACTGCCCTGGAGGACATGTATGGAGGCCCGGGCACTGCCCTGGAGGACATGTATGGAGGCCCGGGCACTGCCCTGGAGGACATGTATGGAGGCCCGGGCACTGCCCTGGAGGACATGTATGGAGGCCCGGGTACTGCCCTGGAGGACATGTATGGGGGCCCGGGTACTGCCCTGGAGGACATGTATGGGGGCCCGGGTACTGCCCTGGAGGACAATCCATATATCTGCTCTGTACTACAATCTCCACAATCTGTGCTCTCTGGCTCCACCTGCAGCATTAATATATTTCCTCTTAAAGGAGCTGGAACCACAATAGGGCTACACAATCAACCTTGTGGGCAACCATTATAGAGAAAAGAGCGCATCCAGAACCCTGAGCACTTTTTACACCCAGTGATATGGCTGAAGGTCCCGTATGGCGCCCTGAGGAGGATATTATAGGGAAAAGAGCACATCCGTGTAATGGTCCATTCCCCGTCCCTTGTGTGTTGTAGAGATCGGACACCGGCGGAAGCAACTCCTGTAAATGAGTCCCTGTGCTGTAGGAGCAAAGGAGACATGTCTCGGTAGTGTCAGGTGGAGTGGCCAGTGAAGACTGCACTATAATAGATGACCCAAAAGGTGTAACCATAGACAAAGCTCCTCCTATGGGGCCCAGAATGTTGGCTGTCAGGTAGCATTTGATACATGTGGAGCCTGTAAAATGCATCAAATGTGAAACCCAACATATGTCCCCGTTATAGCACCAAAATCATCTCCGCATGTTCCTTCTCCACTTCCTGTTTTATAAATGCGGCAATTTCAGTGGAAGAAGAAAAGAGAAATTCAAGACATTGAGAAGCAAAATGTGGAGAAGAACCGTTCTGGAAGCCTCCTAATCAGACCTCTTACAGTCATTTCAGACACGTTTGGCAAGTTGGAGTTTGTTCCATCCTGCACCTCCTACCTGCGGGGTCTTTGCACACATACTGGCAGACATACGGGCAGCACTTCTGTTTCCCCTTACAGTCCCGGTCATAGGTACAGTGGCGATCCTCCTCGGGTGTCTTTAGAGGGCAGGGGATGATGGGTATCGGAGATGCAGGACACTCCCCCGGCTTGATGGATGGTCGGGCTGGGACTGCGACTGGAAGGAGAGACATTTCATGTTACACATGGCAGCAGATACAAGCAGAGCAGTAACAGTGATATGTGGGGTCATCTTCTGTGCCTCATACCCCAAATCAGCCATGTTCCCTTCACACTGAGAGCACTACAGGGGCGGCCATTGCTTTCTCCTGAACATGTCCACCACCAGCTGAGCCGAGCACTGAATCTGTTCCCTCCATGCAGAGCAAAGCACCACAGTCACCAGACTCTCATCCTCTCTCCCCCACTCCCGGGAGCTAGAAGAAACCATCTGGTACTTCCAGGCATGGAGGAGCATGTGACATCACTGGGCCAATAGGTGCTGTGCGATGGGGTGTCCATAGCCCTGTGCAAGTCATGATTCCGGTGACTTTCCTGTCACTTCTACTCCTGAACAGAGCGCAGGGAAGGCCGGTGTATGAGGCGCCAATGAGGTTCTGTTCTGCATGGTCAAAGCATGGACTGACGTTGGGTCACCGACCTCCAACACGCATGTGGTCAGACCTCCCAACTAAGGAGGAGCGGAGTGATTGTGGGGGAATGTCACCAAAGATAACAAGTTTAGTAGATCTGCAAAAATTAGGTCAAAGCGACTGGACCGTCTATTGTTCTAGAAGATGTTTCACTGGAAGAAAAATACGGCAAGTCGAGTTCCCTTGACTTAATTCTTACAGATATACCATGTGACCCGGAGGAATGAGAACCGTCACAGACAGTTTTAGTGTTAGAGGCAAAACAAAACAAAGCTATAAAAACATTATAAAATGTAAAATTTAAATTTTGAAAAAAACATAAAATATTATAAAATAAATTCTATCAGAGACTGCTCACCCCGCTCACCCCTGACAGGACATTCCTCAGTGTCAGGTGTTGGAGGTCGGAGGTCATATTCAGCTCTGGGAGGATCTGATTGGCCGCTTTGACCAATGCAGACGCCGCCAGTTCCACCCTCACACATAACGTGGTCTAGTATTCCATCCTCACCGCCGTCCACTTACCCCAGGGGTCCGAGCATCGAATAGCGCAGCCGACCTCGCAGCACTTCTGTATGCCGGGACAATGGGAGTCGAAGTCGCACGTCTTGGGGATGGGGTACTCGCAGAGGGCAAAGGAGGCGTCCACCACGGGGCAGGAGCCAAACTTCACCGCTGTAAGGAAAGACGTTCACCGTTATCTGCGTCTCCCGGGAACACCTTCTATACACATCTCATCATTTCCTTCTACAATCTCACATTCCAGGTCCAGGGCACTTCCAGGTTTTGGGGTCATTTCATGTCTGACCCTCCCCTCCCCCTCCCCCGTGTTGGGTACATTAGGGAATTGTTAGGTTGTTGTGCAGTGTCTCATTGTGGAGATTTCCCCCTTATTTCCTGTTAGAGAGAACACAGGAAGTGACACGAAATCCACATGACTTAGTCGGGGGGGGTCACCAGAGAACGGGAATCTCTCCGGTGGGAACAGACAGCAATACACATCATATAACAATGTATAATACCACATTGGATGTTTTAGGTGCCTGGAGCCAGAAAACTTAGAAAAAAATCCCCCCCCCCAAAAAAAAAAAAAACCCCACTTGTGATTTGGGGGGTCAGTTCCCAACAAGCAGGGAGATTAGTGTTACGCAGGTGCTGTGCTGTACTTACGTCCACGCTCTGTGCACGTGTTGCGGCAGTAGGTGGGGCAGCATTTCTTGCTCCCCTTACATACAAAGTCATCATTGCACCGATCCCTCTCTTCAGACGGGTCACAGTGGGCAGGACGCACCGGAGCTCCAGGACAGGAACCCCTCTTCACCACTGGAGGGGCAGAAACACCATTTATTACCCCAACCGACCGACCTGAAGACACAAATCACATCTCATTGTATAGAGTTTTCAGCAGATTTGTTACAAAGTGTTATAGCCCCCCTCCCCCCACCATGGAATATGTCAGAGCTATATAATGCATAATAGTGTGATTGTGGGGGAGGGGACATTAGAGTGTAAGCTCCTCTGTACGGAAGAGGAAAAGGAAGAGGAAGAGGAAGAGGAAGAGGAAGAAGAGTTGAAAAGAGAAGAAGAGTTCAGCCGACCCGTCTCCAGGTCTGCTGGTTATTATAACGACAAGCAGCAGTCACTGAAGGAGATCTGCTTATGGACGTTCTTCTCACGCCTCATACCCCAAATCAGCCATGTTCCCTTCACACTAGTGTTGCCACCTTTTCCTCAAGCCGAACCCGAACACTGTAGCACCTCGCGGCAATTTTTTTGTAAAGTATACACGACGCATGTATTTGGAGTTAATCACAACTGACACGCAGAGCCCTCAGAGACACACACAGAGACACACACAGAGACACACACAGAGACACACAGAGACACGCAGAGACACGCAGAGACACGATATAGTAAACCATACTCTGTCCTTAATTATCTACAAACACTCTGCGATCTGGCTGAGCGGTGTGGGAGGAGAGACGCCGGACGCTCACAGCGCTCTCCTCCCGCAGCGCTCGGCCGGCTGTCACAG